ATATGTATATATATATATATGAAACATGATGTATCTGGGGCACGTGTCGTTGAGAGCACACAATCATCTATTTTACGATATCATACTCGTACTCTTTATGGCTCTAGCCTTCCAGATGATTTGTGCGCGCTCGTCACACCCCTCCTCACGCAAAACACTTGCGGGTGGGCTTGACGCCCGGGGGTCTTGACTGACCGCCATGCCCGGGAGAGAGAGAGAAATCCATAGATATGTGTATATATATATATATATAATGTGCTGTGACAATGCACACCTTTCGAAGCCAAGTCGTGCGAAGACGCCGGAGCACCCGGGACAGGCCCTGCAGGGCCGCCTTGCAGAGCAGCCGGCGCCGGTTGCTGCAGAGCTGCTGAGCCGGGCTCCCGTGCTCGCTGGGCAGAGAGTAGGGGCTTATAGGCTTCTGGGGATGATAATGTGTATAGGGATTACAAGGCTTATGGGAAATTTAAGTTCTTATGGGGATTATCAAGGCGTTATAGGGTTTGAGGTTTAGGTGAACATTTCCGGGCTTTAGCTTTTGTTGTGTATAAGGGTCTGCTGAACAACGGAAGCGACGGCTCGCTCTGGCGACGGAGCTCCACTAGTCGGCGGCCGCATCATCTGCTGTCGGTACGCATGCAAAGCCCAGAGCTGAGGGAATAATCCCCTTCACGTTTGCGACACAAACGTTCGGTTCTGATTTTCTCAAGCGAGGAAGGTCGCATAGAGTCATCCTGGGAGCACAAATTTATGCAGTGTCGAGGTCGGGCTCTTGCCGTGGTTGCGGTCGCAGAGAGGGAGGCGCGACGCTTCGCAAAACACGTGGAGTCGAGCTGTGCCTCGGCACCTACCTCAGTCAAATTTCAACTTAGGGTTTAGGGTTTAGGGAGAATGAGAGAAACCATCTTGATAAAGGCTTTGGAGACCCACAAAAGCAATAGAAGAAGCTATCTCTAGAGACTCGATGTGCTCGAAACCCGAATGGTGGCTCTGGTTCTGTATAGGTCCCTGCGGCCTCCCAAAGTCCCTGAGATGCTCTACGTTTGAGGCCCAGACTCGAGTCCAGATTCTCCGGTGAGTCAGAACCGGATTGATTAGAGGTTCCCTAAACCCTAAACCCCTGAACCCTAAACCCTAAGGTTAGGGGCTTGGGGCTTCGGGACTGCAGGGTTTCGGGGTCTAGGGGTCTCCGGGATTAGGAAGGTGTAGGGGTTTAGAGACTATGGGAGGTTAGGTTGTAGGCTTGTACTGTCGGCTGTAGAGGACCCCGCTGTAAGCCTTAGGTGAACCACCCAGAAACTTTAGCAAGTTTGGTAGCAGTATGTAATTCCATCACAGTATCAACAATGCAGTGACCTCTTTAGTTCGATACAGAAGCTCTTGCAAGTAAGACGGGCATACCAGCAATAGTACTGTACCACGTATCCTAAACGCTTTTTATGCAGCAAAAGTAGTGGCAGGAGCAAGACGTGTGGTAATTGCTTGTGCAGCGAAGAGAATAGTATCAGCAAAGTAGCCCCCAAAAGCAATGGGAGCGGGTGGCCAGGGAGCGGACCTCGAGGCAGAGTCAGTGGAGGTGCCGAAGGCCAGCAATCTAGGATTCGGTGCTCTCCTTAGGGTCGTCACTAGACATTTTGCAAAACGGGCGGAAACAATTTCGCGGTCCTTATGATCGGGATCCTGCCACTTCGGGCTGCTAGGGCCGTCGTCGTCGTCGTATGAATCTAGAGCTTCGGACCCAGCGTTTAGGCTTGGGCATAGCATCTGGCGTGTAGGGCTTCGGCCGTTTTCGAGAAGTGTTTTCACAAATGGCTCTGGATTCACCGTGCACTGTTGCACCTCAGCGTACAGGTTCGGTCGTGTCGTCGGGTGTTTTGGGGTGCCTTTGCTGGGTGCTGTCTTGTACAGGAATGTTTTTTGGTAGGGGGGTTACAGGAATTCAGCGTGTCCGGGAGTTGTGTACGAAAGAAGACAACGCCTTCCGTCGTTGGGCTCGGTTTTCCTGGGTCCAAAGTTTCACCAAGGGCCCTCCTCGCTGAAAATGCCAGAAGCTGTATAGCAGCTGGCGTAGTGTTAGCAACACGCCACTAATTAGCATTACTAGCACAGCAATGAGAAGTCTGATCGCAGTGATCAGAACAATCAGAAGACTTTCAACTCCAAGGTTTGGCAGGGGACAGAAGGCTTGACCACGACAGGAGGCCGTCGAAGAAGATAACTTTACGTCCTGCTCTTCATACTACGGGTCATATGAATGCTAGTCCCTCTGAACTGTCTGCCTGATCCTCTCCAGGGTGCACCAGAGGAGGCAGAGGAGGAAGCTCTGCTACTGTCCTGCGAGTTCGTGTTGAGACTGGGAAGCTTTCTGGGTTGCAGCACCTTTGGGTTTCGGAGGAAGGCACCTAGGAGGTTCCTGAACTGGGAAGTCTGTCCGTTTCTGGCCCCTCTTTTCTTCAGCTAGCTGCTTTTGCCGGTCCTCTTGGTCCCGTTCTTAGCGCCCAGGCTCTTCCTGGCTGTGTTGAAAGAAGCTTACTTCCTCATTGCCCTATCAGGAGGCACAGCCCCTTGATGGCACGCGAAATGCGGAGGCGCCCGGCAAAGGATTCTAGTAAAGGCCAGATGCAAGAGGATTGCACATATCGAACAGCAAGAAAAGAACAATCCGGGGAGCGGGGAGGAGGAGTGGCAGAAGTGATAGAGTAGTAGTGGCAACAGCAGTTGTAGCTATTGTGGTGCTGGTGCTGCAGCAGGAGTAACTAGTAGGAGTTGTAGGAGTCGTCGTTGTCGTCGTCGTCGTCGTAGTAGTAGTAGTAGCAGTAGTAGCAGTAGTAGCAGTAGTAGCAGTAGAAGCAGTAGTAGCAGTAGCAGTAGCAGTAGCAGTAGCAGTAGTAGCAGTA